TCCTATTAAGAATAGTTCGGTGAATGCACAAATGAATGAAACTGGTGTGGTTCGGTACCTCCAAAGTGTTAAGAACCACTGTTCTCTAAGTAGCATTTTTAGCTCTATGAATAATTATCATATTACAAAATGCATTCAAAACATTTTTTTCACTGAAAGAAAAAAAATGTCTCCACAAAATTGGAAGCGGTTTTTAAGTAAATAATAATAAACAAAGGTCTCAAAAAGCTTTTTTTCTTCTTTTACCCTGCTATGGTATTTAAATCTATAATCATTTCTATCAGCCTTGGTTGGGTCAGAGGTCAGCTGTGTGTGACCTCAAAGTGAAAAGATCAACAACCGTCCCATTTTCACGCTGGTGATATTTCCCGGCGTCCCCTCGTCTCACACGCGGAAGCAATAAACATTGACATGCGCGTCAGTGGCCAGAGTGCATCAATTTATCGCCCCTGTTTGACTTATTGCCCCTGCTAGAGTTCGTCTGATCTGAGAAGTCTGAACTGAACAGCTATGGTCATGAACATGATATTTAGAAGTAATTCTTTGGTTCTTCTGAAGCAACACTAAATTTAACAGTTACATCAATTTTTACTTTCACGTATACAGAGTATAGAGTAAAGAGGAAGGATTGTAATCGTGCACAAAATCACCTGAAATTTTCACAGTTTTCATAGTTTTACACCTCATTCCTTCATCACATCCGGGCAAAAAATAATAGATCCAGATGTATTAATTTTTTTGGCGTTTTATGCGTAATCCAGTCGGAAAAACTGGACTTTGCAATTCTGTTCGTATGTCTCTGTGTGTGTATGTGTGTATGCATGTGTATGTGTATCTGTAAACACGATAACTTGAGTACCGTTACAGTTAGGTTGATGAAATTTCATAAATAAGTATTAAATCAAATTTGTAGTTCTGTATCAACGTTTCAACAATTCCCGATAAACGGAAGTGGAAATTATTGTACTTTTAGTTTTTCAAAAGACTATAACTTGAGTACTGTTTCATATAGATATACGAAACATTACAATACTGTATCAAACACATTAAATTTTTTGTAATATTTAATCTCTTCACATTTTCTTGCTATTTTGACTGCTGCATTTTGTCAAACCCGAGTCTATATCTGTTTACTGCACATTCTAAGAAAAAGAAATTTCTTTTATTGTACCAAACCGGAATCTGTCAGTAATATTTCAATTCATTCCTTCATACCAAAACCAGACTGTATTGTTTTAGTTCACTTCTCCATATCGGGATCAGCATGTTATAATTCAGTTCATTGCATTATATAGGAATCGGTTTGTATTATTTTCGTTCAGTGCTCCATATCGAAATCCGGCTGCATTATCCACGCTCATTGCTCCGTATCAGAATCAGTCAGCATGGGACACCTCATTAAGCCATCACCTTGCGCTCTCGGGTTTCAAGGTGCGAACACATCAACGTGTTTTGCTGTTCCAAAAGCAAACGCTGAAATCGATGATCGAATTCTGAACCAGCGATAGAATCGATTGCTGGGTTGGAGTATTTGGAAAATAAAAACAAACACCCACCATGTCGAGTCACATGACCTAAAGTACACGTCTTCTGTTGACGTAGTGGGTCGAGTATGATATTGTACAAACTTCTAAACGGTTGTCCCCAGCAGAAGTCTGTGTTAGATCTGGACGGGTTGAGTATGATATTGTACAAACTTCTAAACGGTTGTCCCTAGCAGAAGTCTGTATTAGATCTGGACGGGTTGAGTATGATATTGTACAAACTTCTAAACGGTTGTCCCTAGCAGAAGTCTGTATTAGATCTGGACGGGTTGAGTATGATATTGTACAAACTTCTAAACGGTTGTCCCTAGCAGAAGTCTGTATTAGATCTGGACGGGTTGAGTATGATATTGTACAAACTTCTAAACGGTTGTCCCTAGCAGAAGTCTGTATTAGATCTGGACGGGTTGAGTATGATATTGTACAAACTTCTAAACGGTTGTCCCTAGCAGAAGTCTGTATTAGATCTGGACGGGTTGAGTATGATATTGTACAAACTTCTAAACGGTTGTCCCTAGCAGAAGTCTGTATTAGATCTGGACGGGTTGAGTATGATATTGTACAAACTTCTAAACGGTTGTCCCTAGCAGAAGTCTGTATTAGATCTGGACGGGTTGAGTATGATATTGTACAAACTTCTAAACGGTTGTCTCTCACCCCCCTCCTCAACAGAAGTCTGTGTTAGATGTGAACGAGAGGCTTGTCGTTTCTCTTTACTAACATCACGAAGTGCTTCAAGTGGCTTGAAATTAACAGGTTTTTTTTCTTATTTTATGCATATTTCTGGAGGCCAGAGTTTACAAATTTATATTAGGTCATTTGCCTGTTCAATTTCTCAAATACCAAAACCATCATCACAAATAAATGTCCGCGACTTTTTTTTTTACAAACTAAAACACAACACAACTAAAATACCAAAAGCAACAACTAAATACCAAAAGAATCAACTAAAATACCAAAGGCATCAACTAAAAACCAAAAGCATGAACTAAAATATCAAAAACATAAACTAAAATACCAAAAGCATAAACTAAAATACCAAAAACACAAACTAAAATGCCAAAAACACAAACTAAAATGCCAAAAACACAAACAAAAATACCAAAAGCACAACTAAAATGCCAAAAACATAAACTAAAATACCAAAAAGCACAAACTAAAACGCCAAAAACATCAACTAAAAAACCGAAAGCATAAACTAAAATATAAAAAACATAAACTAAAATACCAAAAGCATAAACTAAAATACCAAAAACACAAACTAAAATGTCAAAAACATAAACTAAAATACCAAAAGCACAAATTAAAATGCCAAAAACATTAACTAAAATACCAAAAAAAGCGACTACTAAAACACCAAAAACACATCTTGCCATACTCAAGCTACCACGGATGTTGCATCTGTTGTTACTGTGACAAGTGTACTAATTACCATAACAATAGCCAACTCTTTAACACTTCATTGTTATTGCCTAGACAGGCAAAAAGTAATCTATTAAAAAGAAGCCATGTATATTTATTATAGAAATTACCCCGGCTAATTTGTTGGGATGGTGGTTGTGTGGTTGTGGTGGGATGGGATGGTGGTTGTATTGTTGGGGTGGGATGGGATGGTGGTTGTGTGGTTGTGTGGTTGGGGTGGGATGGGATGGGATGGTGGTTGTGTGGTTGGGGTGGGATGGTGGTTGTGTGGTTGGGATGGGATGGTGGTGTGTGTTTGGGATGTGATGGTGGTGTGTGGTTGGGATGGGAAGGTGGTTGTGTGGTTGGGATGGGATACGATGGTGGTTGTGTGGTTGGGATAGGAAGGTGGTTGTGTGGTTGGGATGAGATGGTGCTTGTGTGGTTGGGGTGGGATGGGATGGTGGTTGTATTGTTGGGATGGGATGGTGGTTGTGTGGTTGGGGTGGGATGAGAAGGTGGTTGGGGTGGGATAGGAAGGTGGTTGTGTGGTTAGGGTGGGATGGGATGGTGGTTGTGTGGTTGGGGTAGAATGAGAAGGTGGTTGGGGTGGGATGGGAAGGTGGTTGTGTGGTTGGGATGGGATGGTGGTGTGTGGTAAGGATGGGATGGTGGTTGTATTGTTGGGGTGGGATGAGAAGGTGGTTAGGGTGGGATGGGAAGGTGGTTGTGTGGTTGGGATGTGATGGTGGTGTGTGGTTGGGATGGGATGCGATGGTGGTTGTGTGGTTGGGATGGGATGCGATGGTGGTTGTGTGGTTGGGATGGGATGCGATGGTGCTTGTGTGGTTGGGATGGGATGGTGGTTGTGTGGTTGGGATGGGATGGTGGTGTGTGGTTGGGATGGGATGGTGGTTGTGTGGTTGGGATGGGATGGTGGTTGTGTGGTTGGGATGGGATGGTGCTTGTGTGGTTGGGATGGGATGGTGGTTGTATGGTTGGGATGGGATGGGATGGTGGTGTGTGGTTGGGGTGGGAAGGTTAATATGGACAAATCGGTACGATTATGTAGATTGCTAACAAATCTTAAGTAGCGCACTAACGCATTTGTGTAGCGCACTAACACATCTATGAAGCGCACTAACATATTTCTGTAGCACACTAACACATTTATGTAACGCACTAATATATTTCTGTAGCGCACTAATATATTTTTGTAGCGCACTAATATATTTTTGTAGCGCATTAACCTAATTCTGTAGCGCACTAAGACAGCTATACAATGGGGCAGTTTCTCAGATTTTCTGTAAGTCGGTTCTACAACATCAGACAACAAAGTGACCTGCTGGTCAAACCTCCCCCTCACCTGAACATCTTTTAGCTATGCCAGGAATCTACAACAGGAAGTGGTCCATCTCTTGAAGAAACGATTCTTAAATCAACATGGACGTGGAATTGAGGTGGTCAAGCAACAAATACTTTAGTGTGTGGCACTTTTAGATGACGAACCCTTCTTCTTCTTCTTCGTTCTTAATTTTTAATGTTGGAGGGATCGAGCCTTATCTGCCAGAGGGTTTAAACTCGAGACGAACCTGTTTGCCTATTTCTTAATTGACGTGTATTACATTTGGTTCAGTTGAGGACGGACACTAACTAACCACAAATACAAAAATTTCATGTTATTCCAAATCTATAATCTTTGTGGTTTAAAAACATTGATTAAAAGAAAAAAAATGTATTGTATTGCATCGACAAAAATATTGATTTTCGCCAATGTACTGGAACTATTTTAGAAAAAAAAAACTCCGTTGTAAACACACGGACACAACAAAAGAAACAAAAAAAATCTATAGCGTTCAGCATCCGAGTTTATCATTCTATCGACTACTGATCTTCTCACACGTCACCGCGGGCATGCTTCGATCGCTGCCACGTGATTCGTGACGTCAGTGGCCACATGACAGTCGGCGAGCCAATGAGAGTCGGAGCAGGGCCGGATGGGGAGCGCTGTTTGGGTTTTCTTATTGCGATTCGCATGTTTCTGCCGTGCCGGAAGTGAGGACTTAGGGGTCCGTGGTGTTATTTTTGTTCATCTCGCATTGCGTGTTTTTTCTCTCTAACGATAATGCTGTCTGCTTAATTGGGAATTATGCGGTATATTTTAGCCATCGCTTTAGTTTTACAGGTAAGGTTTGGTTATGTGCATTTGAGCTACACTTTGGAATGGTTTTATAATTTGTTATTTAAAAAAAAAAATCTTCTGTAAACCAAGTCTCGTTAAAGGCACATAAATATGTCAAAACTTAGAGTGACAATGTGTGACGAGTCCCATAGTGTCCGTCGTCCCCCCCCCCCCCGAAAATTTCAATTCCCCCCTCCCCCCTGAGAAAAAAAGTTTGGAAGAAACACTGGTTGTGATGTCAGAAAGTGTGACGTCCGCTTTTGCACTAACGAATTTTAACCGAAATTTTTGCATTAAAAATAGTATATACTTTCGGTAAAATAGAGTACAGAAATTAAACCAAAATTTGACCCAGCAAGATAATATTTTAGAAAGAAAAATGTAGTTAAAATAAAAATTGAACTTTGGAAGAAGTGTGACGTCTTTTTAGTGTAGGTCTTGCATTTAGTGTTGACGCCACAAGGAGGGGGGCGGGGAGGTAAAACAGTAAAACAGTAATAAAGTGTGTTGTCATGAAATTTTTACATTAAGTTGACTCCATTAAATATTTATGTGGAATTTTTACAGGAGTTTCATAGATGTCATATAGTAATCGATGTCCGCGTTTCCGTGTAATAATACAACCCTAATCCATTTTTAATTACTTAAGCTTTTTTAAAGACAATAGAAGCTCGTTGAAAAAAGAATTGCGCACCAAGTGAACGCCAAATAAAATGTGTATAATAGTGTGGAATATTATTTGTATTTTATAAATTCACATGCGTTTTTTGAGAAATCGGAAATAGCGTAAATTGCTACTTCCGGTCAACGGAAGTTACACAAAATTTAAAGAAGGCAGAGATTTACATTTTTTAAAACTTATATGTGAAATTTCATTTATTTATTTGAAATAGTTCTCAAATTATAGGATTTTGAAAAATTGAAAGTAGAAAAAGTTCCGCTTCCGGTTATCGGAAATCGCTGAAAAGTTGATACGGATCTACAAATTTGATACTACTTATATATGAAATCTCATCAATCTAGCTGTAACGGTACTCAAGATATCGTGTTTACAGGCACACACACACAAAGAGGCGTAGCGACCCTTCCTGGCGCCCGGGGACAAACTTTCGATTTGCACCCCCCCCTCGAACTTTTGATTTGCACCATCCCTCAAACTTTCGATTTGCAACCCCCTCGGACTTTTGATTTCCACCCCCGCTTCAAACTTTCGATTTGCACCCCCCCTCGAATTTTTCATTTGCACCCCCTCCCCTCAAACTTTCAATTTGTTTTTCCAACCCATTTTGGCGCCCCCCTAAGGTCGGCGCCCGGAGACATATGTCCCCCCCCCCCCGCCCCCTCTCTACGCTTCTGCACACACACATACACACACACACAGACATACGGACAAGATTGCAAAACTATGTTTTTCCGACTCAGCGAGGTGTAAAACGTCGAGATTTGCAAAAATCGCGATTTTTTTTTTGCATGATTACAATACTCTCTCTATACTTTGTACACATATAACATAACACATATAACATAACATAACACAGTGATACCGACGCTACACTCCATATAACACGGCATGACACAATTAGACACCACCTCTACACCCCATATAACACAACATGACAGAATGATACAACAACCCTACGCCCCATATAACACAGCATAGCAAAACCGTAACCTCATCATACACCTTATGGTTGTGATGAATGAGTCAAGCCCCCCCCCCCCCCACCCAGCAATAAAACGACACAAATCTTTTTATTACAAGCTTTTATTTAACTCACTTCCTCTGTCTGTCGTCAGTCTGTTGTCAGTCTAGATCGAATTGCCGGAGTGAAAATTCGGACACTTCTACTTGACCGATTCGGTTCACAGTTCGGTCAAGACAAGACGACCATGCAACCTTAAATTAAATTTGACTTAATTGGATGCCTAATTAATTTTTTATGAATTAATTAAAATTTGGACCGATTTAGTAGGCATTTCTATCCAATCGCACCACACGCGTCATCACGTTCAATAGCGCGTCATCACGTTCAATCGGTGCGCAATGGTTTTTAGTCATGAAACTCTATTGTAAATAAAAACATGTAAAGTACTAAAAATTGTTTTTCATAAAAAACGTTTTAATAACAAGCTTTTATGTACTAATTGACTAAAAAGTAGAAAATAAATTATACATTACTATTTAAATTACTATAAAGAAAAGCGTGGGTCTCTTCCTAAACATTAGTAAAGATATCCAAGAGATACTAAAGTGACCCACGCTTTTCTTTATAGTAATTTAAATAGTAGTGTATAATTTATTTTCTACTTTTTAGTGCATTAGTACATAAAAGCTTGTTATTAAAACGTTTTTTATGCAATTTTTTTTATGTTTACTAATTCAAAACTCCTAACGCCCTCTATTTAAAACTGTATACATTAAAGAATTGCTAATAATAATTCAACTTTATTTATTTAAAGTCCCGCTGTACTTTTAGTCTTTATTTAATAAAAAAACTACAGTGTAACAAGGCAATGGTACGTGATCAGCGCCTCATTGCCTTTATAAGTAGTCCTGGCTAATCAGTCATTTGATGACGGTTGAATTCAAACTATTTTAGGATCAATCTGGATTGAATCCGCGAAGCTGGCTGTCGACAACTTGTCCTAATATTTTATTTGTATTTTAATGCCCCTGCCTTCGAGAGTAAACCTAGTTACACATAGTTAAACCTAGTTAAACCTAGTTAAACCTAGTTAAACCTAGTTAATCTTCTGTTGTTTTGTTTATTTCAGGTCTGGATTGGCCTGAGCGGTGAGTAGAATAATTGGAGACGTTTCTAAAGGTGTTAAAAACTAAAAACGTCAGTTTTAAGTTAAAATCTAATCGTTTTAATTTAAACAAAAATTTTAATTTGTCGCCAGTGGCGGAACTAGGAAAAAAATTAATTTAAAAAAAAAAGCGTAATTTGATAAAGTGTTTTTGTTTGAGATTGAATTTGAGTTTGCGTTTGTGTTTTATTTTGTGTTTGTATTACTGTTTGTATTTGTTTTTGATTTTTCTTTTGTGTTTTCTTTTGTGCTTGCGTTTGTGTTTGAGTTGTTTTTGCGTTTTTGTTTGAGTTTGCATTTGTTTGTGTTTTCTTTTATGTTTGTATTTCTGTTTGCGTTATGTTTGCGTTTTGTGTTTGTTTGCGTTTTTGTTTTCTTTTGTGTTTGTATTTGTGTTTGCGTTGTGATTGCGTGTTGCGTTTGTTTTCTTTTGTGTTTGCGTTGTGTTTTTGTTTTTGTTTGAGTTTGCGTTTGTTTTTTCTTTTGTATTTGTGTTTTCGTTTTTGTTTGTGTTTGGTTTTGTTCTGTTCCCAAGTTGGTACATTTAAAAAAAAGATTCACCGTGGGGAAGCACTGGTATGCAGCTAGTTAAGTAAAACCAGTTTGGAAATATTAAATATGTTACTGATTGTTTTTCAAAACTAAAATTAATCGGCTTACTACTCTAATTTAAAATTTCCAAATACGTAAAAGAAGAAAATAATGTAGGCCCCCCTACATATAGCATTTTTTAAATTCATAATATCTTTTAATGTACCGATAAAAAAATACCTGCCTTTCCTTGTCTAAAATAGTAACTGAGTTGCCGCTGAAGTGTCTTGACTGACCAATGCTTTTACTATTATAAATTATGCCCAAGGAAAACGTGTTTATTTCCATTAAAGTGTTTTGGTACGAGCATTACTTTAAACTGAATAAATCCATACAAACATTGAGTGTTAAATAAAATTCTCTCTATGTGACGTCATCTCCCCTTCCCAGATGCCATCGCTGGTGGTTATGTCAACTGTTTCTCAGAGAACATCCGGCAGCGCCATTTCTCCGTCAGTCCCGGGAGTTACAACCCAGACAAGATGGAGCCCAACTACTGTCGGGAGCGGTGCGGGGCGTTTGACTACCTGTACGCCGCCCTAGCGCACGGTAACTAGGGCACATTGTTACGTTTTTCATAGAGGGGGAAATAGAGAGAAATGTGGTGATTGACCCTGGAACATAACATACTAAGTATGGGGACTCTGGGTGCAGGGAAGGATGGGAGGTGGGAAGGCCTTCACTATGTAAAGTAAAAGTAAAGATACCTCTATAAACCTATTCATCCATTGGCCAGATGAAGTAGAGTTCATATATTTCTTGACCTAGCTTATGAAGAGATGGTGTGATCAGTACTATGCCCAGCCGCCTTTAATTTTCCCAACGTAAGTTAGGAACATATCAGAGCTGGATGGACTCAGGGAAGTTCTACTGTCGCAAGTCTGAACAGAGATCCGAACTCGAGACCTTCTGTCTAGCAGCCAGACGCTTTATCATTCGACCATGCCGTATAATTTAAAAAAAATATGATAACAGAAATGATTAGTCGCATGGATATGTCAGGGACCTGTAGCTATGCCAAGGGTTTGTAGCTAAGCCACAACTTTCCAGAAAAACAAGAAATGTTTTACCGAAAGTTGACACCTACAGTGTCTGATACTTTAATGCAATGGTTCTTAACCTGGGTTCGATCGAACCCCAGGGATTCGGCGCGTCAGTCTCAGGGGTTTGGCAGAAATCAAGACACATACCCGACTCATATGAATTATGATTAGCGATCGGATTTTTTTTTAATTGCGTACGATAGAACTAGCGATCAATGACAGCTAAAATACGACAGGGCGACAGCACGATACAGTAATAATGTTTGGTATTTTGGACAGTGATGTTGATGCACGGTTCATTTTGTGCACAATTAAAAATATATTAAACTTATACCTACGTTTCGAATTAAAAAAAAAAAAGTTAATTTATTATCCCTATTAAGGCATTTTGTGCACAATTAAAAATATATTAAACATATACCTACGTTTCGAAATAAAAAAAAACCCAGTGAATTTATTGTCCCTATTAAGGAGGGTTCAGTGAGCGCGCATTTGAAATTATTGGGGTTCGGTACCTCCAAAAAGGTTTAAGAACCACTGCTTGAATGCTTTCTTCCTCTCCTATCCCAATGGTGTAGTTGTGTTAATGTATTAGCCTCAGTCATATTGAAGCAAATGGACGTTCTTATAAATGATGTTCATGTAAGTTTTGTTCCCATATGACCTACATGTCATACCTCTACATGTGCGCACCCTGGCAGGCAAGTTCTGCTTCTGCTCCCAAACCCTGCCCGTGGGTAAGAACGTCACAAACACCCCCTGCAACATGACGTGTGAGGGTAACCCCAGTGAGATCTGCGGCAGTCGGAATTACGTCAGTGTCTTCCGCTCCATCTCAGCCATCACTGGATTAGAGGTGAGATATATGTTGGATTAAAAATGAATTTATGTTGGATTAGTGGGAAGATTTATGTTGGATTAGTGGGGAGATTTATGTTGGATTAGTTATGAGATTTATGTTTGATTAATGGGGACATTTATGTTGGATTAGATGATATTTTAAAAGCACATGAAACTATAAAAATGACTTTTTGTTGAATGGATGTATGTTAAAATACACTATTAGAATCTTCAAGATGTGTACATCAAAAGGGTAGAATGGGACTTGACTATAAGGAGGGAGGGTACTGGGCGAGAACCCAAGAAATAAGATGATAAGATTAACAGAGCGCCCCGAGTTTATCACAATGTGTACATTATTCCACAGGTGACATCAAATGTGTCTGGCATCCTGACAGTACCAGCAAGCATCGGTCTCTCCATATCTGTGAATTCAGGTGAGGTAGAGTAGTGGTAACTTGTGGGGGCCGTGTGGTCGAACACTAAAGTATACAACGAAAACCTGGGCGTAGGGGACATGCCTTGGTATATCAGGGGCGTGATCTGGTGTTTAGGGGGCGTAGCCTGTTGTCTTACGGATGTATCTTTGTATATTAAGAACAAGTCATCGTATGTAAGGAGCGTGATGTGGTGTTTGTGGGGAAGGGGGTGCGTGTTATGATGTCGAGGTCTAAGTTGTTAATTGTGTCTGTTTCTCATATTTTGCGGTTTTTCGTCCAAGAAATTTTTTTTTTCACATTTTGTGTTATTTTGTAAAGGTAACAAGATGTCTTTAAATTTTTATTGTGTCTTGCCCAGGTAACAATATGTTTGTCGCGTGTTGTGTTATATTGTCCAGGTAACAATATCCTGTACATGGTTGATTACGGCGACACGTCCGGCTCTACGGTAGGAAACGAGACGGACTATGATTCACGTCAGATCTACAGGCCCGGTCAGTACGTCGTGAAAGTTGGAGCACAGGACGTAGATAAAACTATGCCGGTAAGGTTGCTTCGTTACAACAAATGTTGTAGGACAATAGATGGAACAAATGTTGTAGAACAATAGATAAAACATATGTAGAGCAATAAATACAACAAATGTTGTAGAACAATAGATACAACAAATGTTGTAGGACAATAGATGGAACAAATGTTGTAGAACAATAGATGAAACATATGTAGAGCAATAAATACAACAAATGTTGTAGAACAATAGATACAACAAATGTTGTAGGACAATAGATGGAACAAATGTTGTAGAACAATAGATGAAACATATGTAGAGCAATAAATACAACAAATGTTGTAGAACAATAGATACAACAAATGTTGTAGGACAATAAATACAACAAAAGTTGTAGGACAATAGATACAACAAATGTTGTAGGACAATAGATGGAACAAATGTTGTAGAACAATAGATGAAACATATGTAGAGCAATAAATACAACAAATGTTGTAGAACAATAGATACAACAAATGTTGTAGGACAATAGATGGAACAAATGTTGTAGAACAATAGATGAAACATATGTAGAGCAATAAATACAACAAATGTTGTAGAACAATAGATACAACAAATGTTGTAGGACAATAAATACAACAAAAGTTGTAGGACAATAGATACAACAAATGTTGTAGGACAATAGATGGAACAAATGTTGTAGAACAATAGATGAAACATATGTAGAGCAATAAATACAACAAATGTTGTAGAACAATAGATACAACAAATGTTGTAGGACAATAGATGGAACAAATGTTGTAGAACAATAGATGAAACATATGTAGAGCAATAAATACAACAAATGTTGTAGAACAATAGATACAACAAATGTTGTAGGACAATAGATACAACAAATGTTGTAGGACAATAGATAAAACAGATGTTGTAGAACAATAAATTTAACAAATGTAGAACAATGAACAAGATTTCTTTCTTGGACCAGTTGTTGTAGAATAAAACGGATTACATAACAAATCCGTTGCCTGTCAAATTCTAGCCTCAGGAAAAAAAAAATCATCTTGACATTTTGCAAACAACACATCTATCACAAAACAAATGTAGTAAACAAAATATCATGCTTTACAGCAGAAAATGTTTACAGAACACCTTACTTCTGGTCGGACAAATGTTTATATAGTTTCTACAGAGCAAGACGCGGCCTGTTAACTGTATCAACCAGGTCCACATCAATGTGTCTTTCTTCAAGTATTTAGAGCCGCTATGCAGAGGCGTAGCGACCCTTCACGGCGCCCGGGGACAAACTTTCAATTTGGCGCCCCCTCGGGAGCAAATTTTCAATTTGCACCCCCCCCTCAAACTTTCGATTTGCACCCCCTCAAAATTTTGATTTGTATCCCCCCTCAAACTTTCGATTTGCGTCCCCCTCAAAATATTTATAATTTGTTTTTCCAACCCATTTGGCGCCACCTAATGTCGGCGCCCGGGGACATATGTACCCCCCCCCCCCCCCGCACCCCCTCGCTACGCCTCTGCCGCTATGACATTTTGAGATTTTTAAACCAGTAGGCCTATATCGCTATTGGAGTTTGTGTTTCCGGAAATAAGTTCATCATGGAGCTTACCCTGGAAAATATAAGGCTTTAAACTTAAACCCCATTTGTAATCGAACTATCGACCACGATTTGAAGTAACTGCCCATTGAATGGCACTTTAGATTTAGCTCCGGATTTTGGTTTAGAATTGTAATCTTAGAGGATTAAATTTAATTAACGAAAACAATGATTTAAAAAAGCATATGAAGAATAAATGATACAAATATGAATCGTTTTGACGATGTCAAATAAGTTTTCGTTCCGATTTTTACCGTTGGGAGCGTGTTTTATGTGTTCAAATTTTAAAATGTATTTGGTAAGGTACTAAGGTTGCTCCACATTTTAGTGCTTCATTAGGTGTAGCTACATCATTTTTAAAATGTGAATTTATAATGGATTACCATTCCTTAACTGCTCCAGCTATTTCCTTTAACGTCTTCTGTGTGTTAATAGAGTAATACGAATGAACTTCAGCCTAACATTTATTTATTGAGTCAACCAAAACGTCAAACCCTGTCCCTATCTCAAACCTTCTCCCCTTGTACCCACCTCTAACACCCTACCCCTGTACACACCTCTAACCCCCTACCCCCTGTAACCCCCTTTAACCTCTACCCCCTGAACAGATATCCCTCCATCCCCTCTACCCTACTACCCCCTCCACCCCCTCTAACCTCTACCCCCTGAACAGATATCCCTCCATCCCCTCTACCCAACTACCCCCTCCACCCCCTCTAACCCCCTACCCCCTGTACCCCCCTACCCCCTCCACCCCTCTAACCCCCTACCCCCTGTACCCCCCCTACCCCCTCCACCCCTCTAACTTCTACCCCCTACCCCCTCCACCCCTCTAACCTCTACCCCCCTACCCCCTCCACCCCTTTAACCTCTACCCCCCTGTACCCCCCTACCCCCTCCACCCCTCTAACCTCTACCCAGTGTACCCCCCTACCCCCTGTACCCACCTCTAACCCCCTACCCCCTGTACCCCCCTACCCCCTCCACCCCTCTAACCTCTACCCCCCTACCCCCTCCACCCCTCTAACCTCTACCCCCTGTACCCCCCTACCCCCTCCACCCCTCTAACCCCCTACCCCCTGTACCCCCTACCCCCTGTACCCACCTCTAACCCCCTACCCCCTGTACCCCCCTACCCCCTCCACCCCTCTAACCTCTACCCCCCTACCCCCTCCACCCCTCTAACCTCTACCCCCTGTACCCCCCTACCCCCTCCAACCCTCTAACCCCCTACCCCCTGTACCCCCCTACCCCCTGTACCCACCTCTAACCCCCTACCCCCTGTACCCCCCTACCCCCTCCACTCCTCTAACCTCTACCCCCTGTACCCACCTCTACCCCCTACCCCCATGTACCCACCTCAAGCCTCTCCCCCTGTATCCAACCTGTAACCTCTACCCCCTCTAACCTCTACCCCCCTACCCCCTCCACCCCCTCTAACCTCTGCCCCTTGTCCCCAGGTATCGTACGCTGTGACAGGCTTCACCCTGGAGCAGACGGTGGAGAGTGTGGACATTCTGTGTGACCCCGCCTTCGCCACCTACGAGGAGGGGGAGTGTGTGGTCACGGTGTGGAAGGGAACAGATCTGATGATGGACGCCAACTTCACTGACCGTCACCCTTACGATGTCCGTCTGGAGTACATCGCTGGTCAGTTGGTTTCAAATTAATGTTGTGTCTATTTGGTGTTCAGTGCGATATTCCTTTGGTCGTTTCTCCACAGAAATCAAACATAACTGTACTCTTTAATTTTTTTAAAATTTTCACATTGAAAACGTTTTATTTATTGCTAATCCTTATGTACTAATGAATCAACTGATGGACATTTTTAAAGTTGTACCATAAAAACGAAGCTTAATAAATATCTTAAACACAACACAATGTGTCTTTGTATGTGTGCATGTTTCTCCCCGTCTATGTATGTGTCTATGTTTCTCCCCATCTATATATGTGTCTATGTTTCTCACTGTATATGCATGTGTCTACGTTTCTCCCGTCTCTGTATGTGTCCATGTTTCTCCCCGTCTATGTATGTGTCTGTTTCTCCCCATCTATATATGTGTCTTTGTTTCTCACTGTATATGTATGTGTCCATGTTTCTCCCCGTCTCTCTATGTGTCCATGTTTCTCCCCGTCTATATATGTGTCTATGTTTCTCCCCGTCTATGTATGTGTCCATGTTTCTCCCCATCTCTGTATGTGTCCATGTTTCTCCCCGTCTATATATGTGTCTATGTTTCTCCCCGTCTATGTATGTGTCCATGTTTCTCCCCATCTCTGTATGTGTCCATGTTTCTCCCCGTCTATGTATGTGTCCATGTATTTCCCTGTCTCTGTATGTGTCCATGTTTCTCCCCGTCTATATATGTGTCTACGTTTCTCCCGTCAATGTATGTGTCCATGTTTCTCACCGTCTATGTATGTGTCCATGTTTCTCCCCATCTCTGTATGTGTCCATGTTTCTCCCCGTCTATGTATGTGTCCATGTATTTCCCTGTCTCTGTATGTGTCCATGTTTCTCCCCGTCTATATATGTGTCTACGTTTCTCCCGTCTCTGTATGTGTCCATGTTTCTCCCCGTCTATGTATGTGTCCATGTTTCTCCCCATCTCTGTATGTGTCCATGTTTCTCCCCGTCTATGTATGTGTCCATGTATTTCCCTGTCTCTGTATGTGTCCATGTTTCTCCTCGTCTATATATGTGTCTACGTTTCTCCCGTCTCTGTATGTGTCCATGTTTCTCCTCGTCTATGTATGTGTCCATGTTTCTCCCCATCTCTGTATGTGTCCATGTTTCTCCCCGTCTATGTATGTGTCCATGTATTTCCCTGTCTCTGTATGTGTCCATGTTTCTCCCCGTCTATATATGTGTCTACGTTTCTCCCGTCTCTGTATGTGTCCATGTTTCTCCCCGTCTATGTATGTGTCCATGTTTCTCCCCATCTCTGTATGTGTCCATGTTTCTCCCCGTCTATGTATGTGTCCATGTTTCTCCCCATCTCTGTATGTGTCCATGTTTCTCCCCGTCTATATATGTGTCTACGTTTCTCCCATCTCTGTATGTGTCCATGTTTCTCCCCGTCTATATATGTGTCTACGTTTCTCCCGTCTCTGTATGTGTCCATGTTTCTCCTCGTCTATGTATGTGTCCATGTTTCTCCCCATCTCTGTATGTGTCCATGTTTCTCCCCGTCTATGTATGTGTCCATGTATTTCCCTGTCTCTGTATGTGTCCATGTTTCTCCCCGTCTATATATGTGTCTACGTTTCTCCCGTCTCTGTATGTGTCCATGTTTCTCCCCGTCTATGTATGTGTCCATGTTTCTCCCCATCTCTGTATGTGTCCATGTTTCTCCCCGTCTATGTATGTGTCCATGTTTCTCCCCATCTCTGTATGTGTCCATGTTTCTCCCCGTCTATATATGTGTCTACGTTTCTCCCATCTCTGTATGTGTCCATGTTTCTCCCCGTCTATGTATGTGTCCATGTTTCTCCCCATCTCTGTATGTGTCCATGTTTCTCCCCATCTCTGTATGTGTCCATGTTTCTCCCCGTCTATGTATGTGTCCATGTTTCTCCCCGTTTATGTATGTGTCCATGTTTCTCCCCATCTCTGTATGTGTCCATGTTTCTCCCCGTCTATGTATGTGTCCATGTTTCTCCCCGTCTATGTATGTGTCCATGTTTCTCCCCATCTCTGTATGTGTCTATGTTTCTCACTGTCTATGTATATGTCCATGTTTCTCCCCGTCTATGTATGTGTCCATGTTTCTCCCCATCTCTGTATGTGTCCATGTTTCTCCCCGTCTATATATGTGTCTACGTTTCTCCCATCTCTGTATGTGTCCATGTTTCTCCCCATCTCTGTATGTGTCCATGTTTCTCCCCGTCTATATATGTGTCTATGTTTCTCCCCGTCTATGTATGTGTCCATGTTTCTCCCCGTCTATGTATGTGTCCATGTTTCTCCCCGTCTATGTATGTGTCCATGTTTCTCCCCGTCTATATATGTGTCCATGTTTCTCCCCGTCTATATATGTGTCTATGTTTCTCCCCGTCTATGTATGTGTCTATGTTTCTCCCCGTCTATGTATGTGTCTATGTATTTTCCCCAGATCCCATTGTGTCTATAGCAGGCACCTGGGTACCCAACCCACCGAACACAACACCATCAACTGGTGCTTACGTCATGAGGGCCGCCGAGTTCACGACCTCTGGTAAAATCTACGGCTGGAGGATGCACGTGCAAACAGCGGGACAGATTAAAATATACGTACGTGCTTTTTAAATACACTCGCTTTGTAAGGGTGGGTAAAAAGTGAAAAACGCAATCCACAAACCGTCGATAATGTAGAATGTAGATGAAAGTAATTGACCAGGTTCTGATATAAAATTCAACCAGTAATTGACCAGTTTCTGAAAAATCCAACCAGTAATTGACCAGTTTCTGATATAAAAGCCAATTAGTAATTGACCAGTTTCTGATATAAAATCCAACTAGTAATTGACCAGGTTCTGATATAAAAGCCAACAGGTTGACCAGATTGTGCTATAAAAACCAAACAGTAATCGACTAGGTTCTTATATATCATAACTAGCCATTGTCCAGGTTCTGATATAAAAGCCAGCTAGCCATTGTCCAGGTTATGATATAAAAGCAAGCTAGCCATTGTCCAGGTTCTGATATAAAAGCCAGCTAGCCATTGTCCAGGTTATGATATAAAAGCAAGCTAGCCATTGTCCAGGTTATGATATAAAAGCCAGCTAGCCATTGTCCAGGTTCTGATATAAAAGCCAGCTAGCCATTGTCCAGGTTATGATATAAAAGCAAGCTAGCCATTGTCCAGGTTCTGATATAAAAGCCAGCTAGCCATTGTCCAGGTTATGATATAAAAGCAAGCTAGCCATTGTCCAGGTTATGATATAAAAGCCAGCTAGCCATTGTCCAGGTTATGATATATAGGCCAGCTAGCCATTGTCCAGGTTCTGATATAAAAGCCAGCTAGCCATTGTCCAGGTTATGATATATAGGCCAGCTAGCCATTGTCCAGGTTCTGATATAAAAGCCAGCTAGCCATTGTCCAGGTTATGATATATAGGCCAGCTAGCCATTGTCCAGGTTATGATATATAGGCCAGCTAGCCATTGTCCAGGTTCTGATATAAAAGCCAGCTAGCCATTGTCCAGGTTCTGATATATAGGCCAGCTAGCCATTGTCCAGGTTATGATATATAGGCCAGCTAGCAATTGTCCAGGTTATGATATATAGGCCAGCTAGCCATTGTCCAGGTTATGATATATAGGCCAGCTAGCCATTGTCCAGGTTATGATATATAGGCCAGCTAGCCATTGTCCAGGTTATGATATATAGGCCAGCTAGCCATTGTCCAGGTTCTGATATAAAAGCCAGCTAGCCATTGTCCAGGTTATGATATATAGGCCAGCTAGCCATTGTCCAGGTTATGATATATAGGCCAGCTAGCCATTGTCCAGGTTATGATATATAGGCCAGCTAGCCATTGTCCAGGTTATGATATATAGGCCAGCTAGCCATTGTCCAGATTATGATATATAGGCCAGCTAGCCATTGTCCAGGTTATGATATATAGGCCAGCTAGCCATTGTCCAGGTTCTGATATAAAAGCCAGCTAGCCATTGTCCAGGTTATGATATATAGGCCAGCTAGCCATTGTCCAGGTTATGATATATAGGCCAGCTAGCCATTGTCCAGGTTCTGATATGAAAGCCAGCTAGCCATTGTCCAGGTTATGATATATAGGCCAGCTAGCCATTGTCCAGGTTATGATATATAGGCCAGCTAGCCATTGTCCAGGTTATGATATATAGGCCAGCTAGCCATTGTCCAGGTTATGATATATAGGCCAGCTAGCCATTGTCCAGATTATGATATATAGGCCAGCTAGCCATTGTCCAGGTTCTGATATAAAAGCCAGCTAGCCATTGTCCAGGTTATGATATATAGGCCAGCTAGCCATTGTCCAGGTTATGATATATAGGCCAGCTAGCCATTGTCCAGGTTCTGATATAACCCCCCTTCCCCCATGTTCTGATATAAACCCCCTTATCCCATGTTCTGATATAAACCCCCTTCCCCCAGGTGCTGAGCCCCTCCTGTACCACGACTAGCACGACCTACTGCTACGAGTCCAACTCCTGCAAGGCCAGCTGTCTGACCACGTCCAAGGCCATCAGCACCGCCTGTTCTGCCAGCGACGCCTTCTGTGGACAGTCCGGCAAATGTTATGCAACTTGCAGCAGTACGGCGTCCAGATACGGCACGACACAAATCAATGGTGAGTCTGTGTATAGAGTCCATACACTCCTTAGGTGTAGTGAGGCTTTCTTCAACCATTATTGGGGGTGGGGGGGGGCAATATATTACTTTGTGGTGTTTTTTTTTCCCAAGTAGGTTTCTTGATACTTGTTAGAAAAAGCAAACGAAATAGATTTGTAAAACGTTTAGAAAAAATGTATTTTTAAAGAACATTTACTGTTGGTCTGTACGTGTGTAAAATGGTAGCCTTAGATTTAACACGCACTAAAAACTTTTTTCTTTCATTAAGACATTCCTGTTTTTTGTTTTTTATTTATTTTCCCACCAGTGGACTCATACGTCATCAACCAGACGATAACCTTTAACCCCACGACCACGGGCACCAAGTGGTTCGACCAATCACCGTACCTGGACGTGGAGCCAGGGTTTGTGCTAGGGGTCGACCACTCCGTGACGGGGAGAATATCAGAGATGAGTGCCCCCATCAACGACATCAAGTTTACATCAGCGTCCTTTAGCCAAGCTGGGGGGACTCTTTACACCAGCACTCATGCTCTACAGGCGTACTACTCTAGTGGCTCAAAGGTAGGACTAGGACAGTGAGGACATTCAGGGGGGTCAAAGGTAGGAATTAAGGACAGTGTGGACATTCAGTGGGTATGGGTAGGACTTTAAGATGACAATGTGGATATTTTGTGGTTATAACAATTTAGTTATGACAATCTAGACATTCAGTGGCTACAGGAAAGGACTTTGTATATTACAATGTGGACATTGTGTGGCTGCTTAGTTTTGACTTTAGGACAATCTGGATATTTTGTGTTTAGAAGGTAGGATAATGTGGACATTTAGTGGCTGCAAGTGGACCTCCTGAAATTGTCTATTACAAATTGTCTATTACAGGTCCTCCTACAATTGTCTATTACAGGTCCTACAATTGTCTATTACAGGTCCTACAATTGTCTATTACAGGTCCTCCTACAATTGTCTATTACAGGTCCTCCTACAATTGTCTATTACAGGTCCTCCTAAAATTGTCTATTACAGGTCCTCCTACAATTGTCTATTACAGGTCCTACAATTGTCTATTACAGGTCCTACAATTGTCTATTACAGGTCCTCCTACAATTGTCTATTACAGGTCCTCCTACAATTGTCTATTACAGGTCCTCCTAAAATTGTCTATTACAGGTCCCCCTAAAATTGTCTATTACAGGTCCTCCTAAAATTGTCTATTACAGGTCCTCCTAAAATTGTCTATTACAGGTCCCCCTACACTTGTCTATTACAGGTCCCCCTAAAATTGTATATTACAGGTCCTAAAATTGTCTATTACAGGTCCCCCTAAAATTGTCTATTACAGGTCCTCCTAAAATTGTCTATTACAGGTCCTCCTAAAATTGTCTATTACAGGTCCTCCTACAATTGTCTATTACAGGTCCTCCTAAAATTTTCTATTACAGGTCCCCCTAAAATTGTCTATTACAGGTCCTAAAATTGTCTATTACAGGTCCTCCTAAAATTTTCTATTACAGGTCCCCCTAAAATTGTCTATTACAGGTCCCCCTAAAATTGTCTATTACAGGTCCTCCTAAAATTGTCTATTACAGGTCCTCCTAAAATTGTCTATTACAGGTCCTCCTAAAATTGTCTATTACAGGTCCTCCTAAAATTGTCTATTACAGGTCCCCCTACACTTGTCTATTACAGGTCCCCCTAAAATTGTCTATTACAGGTCCCCCTAAAATTGTCTATTACAGGTCCTCTTGAAGTTCACCTTCTTGAACAACCCCATCATATTCCCAATGGACGTGACGGTCTACAACCGAAAACAAGCGACCACCGCCACCAACACCACATACATCAACCTGTTCGAAGGCGTGGACTTTGCCATCATCGAAGGTCCTGAGTACGTGGCCGCCAACGAACCAGCTCTCTTCACTTTAGCCAATCACACTGGTAAGGCGAGTTTGTTTTTCTATTGCTGTCGTTAGTAGATGTGTTAACGACAACAAAGTCGTGAAATCAGAAAGAAGTCAGTCTGCAGTAAATAGCTGTGCTATTGAGACTACATTGTCTTTAAATAAAGAAGCCAAAGTATTAGCTACACTGACCATCGCTGTGGCTCTACAGCACATGGGGTGGGGGGGGGGGCTTTGGTCTGTTTCACCACCTTTTCCATTCAGACTTGTCTGCAGTTTTCTACTTCAATGTCTGAACTCATAGGCACGGCGTGGCCTAGCGGTAGAGTGCTAGACTGCTAACCCGAAGGGTCTCGTGTTCGAATCCGGATTCAAGTCAGTAGAACGAACGCCCCTGAGTCCACCCAGCTCTGAAAGTAAAAGCGGCTGGGCATAATGCTGACCACACTATAGGGCTGGTAAGTAGGTCATCAACCAGTTCTATGGCTCATGCAGGTTTTATTGAGCCGTAGAGCTGGTTGGTGACCTACTTACCAGCCCTATACCTTCATATACCGAGGTCACATAAACAGGTGAACTCTACTTCACTTGCCCCATGGTCCGTCATGTTCTAAAAGGGAACTTAACTTACAACCGTCTGGAATCTACGCAGCTGTAGGTCTGTCTCCACATCATTCTAACCATCTACGCCTAGGTCTACCTTGTGGTCTTCTCCCTCTGGGGTTCGGTTATATTGTAGGTGTAATGTCTTCGTACGTTACATATTAGCTAGTAGTTGACCATCAAATCAAGAAACACCTTTAGGAATAACGGGTAGAATTCGGCTGATGTTCTTATTATCACAGTTCCGGTAAAGGCTCCAAAATGTAAAATATTCGGACTCAACATGTAACAGCCGCGAATCATATTTGACCTGATGAATATTTTTGTTTGTTTCCAGGTTCCAACTTGACCTACATCTGGAACATCACCGACGGCAGCCCAATAGGTAGCCTCCCCTACCTGAACCACACCTTCCTGGCCAAGGGCGACTACAACATCTCTGTGGCCGTCTTCAACGTCATCAGCAGGAAGGACAACTACACTACAGTTCACGTGCAGGATAGGGTAGGTATCGATACAGAATTAGGACGTGGTAAGGTAGGTATCGATACACGATAGTGGCTTGGTAGGGTAGGTATCGATACATGATAAGGACGTTGTAAGGTATGTATTGATACATTATTAGGGCGAGGTAGTGTGGGTATCGATACATGATTAGGTTGTGGTAGAGTCAGTATCGATACATGATTAAGGCTCAGTACGGTGAGTATTGATAAATATCGATACACGATAAAGACCAGGTACAGTGGGTTCGACACATGTTTAGAGTAAAGTAGAATGGGTATCGATTCCTGATTCAGGACAAGGCAAAGTGGGTATCTATACCTGATGAGGGCATAAAATGTTCTGTAAGATCGGAGTTGTAATTTTAATTGACCGAGTTAAGTTATACATGATGTTTTTCTATACATGATTAGAATAACACAGATTAGTTAGCGTTAATGGATACTTCAGGACTCATACATACAAGACAGCATCGATCTGTGTTTGCAAGACGATGATAAAACTTGACGTAGTTAAATTTTGGTCGAACTTTTGGCTTTAAGATATATTTACTTTTATACTTTATTTAAGTTGGCCTAATTTACTTTTAGACTTCGGGGAAAATTTACTCTTAAAACTGCTAAATTTGATATTTAATTTATGTTAAATTTGATTTTTGTATTGTTTATCTACACTTTTAGTCTCATGTTTATTTCTATATAGAGATGCTGAAGTTGAACTAAAAAAACAACAACAATTGTGTCCATAGATCACCGGCCTGGTCATCACAGCCGTAGACTCGCCCGTCAACACACTGGTCAACCTCAACGTCGCCTTGGCCACAGGCTCGGACTTTACCTGCAAGCTCAACTACGGGGACGGGAACCCACCCGTGGATCTGACCCCACTGGAGATTACGATCCCTACCTCAGTGCAGACACACGAGTACCTGGACATTGGCTTCTACACTTTGGTCATCTTCTGTGAAAATATGGTCAGTAGGCCCCCCCCCCACCCTTATTTCATACTGGTCATCTTCTGTGAAAATATGGTCAGTAGGCCCCCCCCACCCTTATTTCATACTGGTCATCTTCTGTGAAAATATGGTCAGTAGGCCCCCCCCCACCCTTATTTCATACTGGTCATCTTCTGTGAAAATATGGTCAGTAGGCCCCCCCCACCCTTATTTCATACTGGTCATCTTCTGTGAAAATATGGTCAGTAGGCCCCCCCCCCCACCCTTATTTCATACTGGTCATCTTCTGTGAAAATATGGTCAGTAGGCCCCCCCCCCCCACCCTTATTTCATACTGGTCATCTTCTGTGAAAATATGGTCAGTAGGCCCCCCCCACCCTTATTTTATACTGGTCATCTTCTGTGAAAATATGGTCAGTAGGCCCCCCCCCCCACCCTTATTTCATACTGGTCATCTTCTGTGAAAATATGGTCAGTAGGCCCCCCCCACCCTTATTTCATACTGGTCATCTTCTGTGAAAATATGGTCAGTAGGCCCCCCCCCACCCTTATTTTATACTGGTCATCTTCTGTGAAAATATGGTCAGTTGGTCCCCCTCCCACCCTTGTTTCATACTGGTCATCTTCTGTGAAAATATGGTCAGTAGGTTACACCCTTGTGTTTAATATCAGTTACGATAGTAATTTTTTTACAAGAAAAATGTATTTACACAAAGCCTGAACTTTGTTAAGATACTGCCGTTGTTAATTATTACTGATGTGTTACATAAAATTACTTTAGAATTAAAGCACTTCGGGCTCGGAAATATATAGAGCGTGTTTGGTGAAAATCAGGTGTGTAAAACTGTAGATATGCGCAGTGGCGTCACAAGGCGGGTCAGGGTGGTACGGGCTCTCCTATATGACACCCGACCTAGTGACGCCATTGGCTGCAAGTAAATTAGAACAACCTTCTTAGCTCTCAGGTAGATACAGGCCTTGACATTATATTCTATAGATAAAGTTTTATACTTTGATAGGCCGAACTACCATACTGTTTGTATTGAAGTTAAAACATGTATAGTAACAAGTACACAAGACATGCCACATAGTTTAATCCACCACACCATCACCACCAGATCAACAACGCCACCTCTAAAGTCGACATCTACATCGAGGAGCCAATCACCAACCTACGGGCAGCTCGCGAGGGCGCCCCGACCTTGGAGGCCTTCAGGTTCGGCTGGCTCCTAGACTCTGGCTCCAACGTCATCTTCCAGCTGACCTTCAACGGTGCCAGCCTGGCTATTGACCCCGCGGCTTCTGACGTCAACAGCTACGTCTGGGAGTCTGTGATAGTGCCTGGCAAGCCTGCCAACGGGTACCCGTATTTTTTACAGGCAAGCATTTGTTTTTTTTTTAAAGAAAAATGTAAATTTCACAATACATGATTCGACCTGTGATACCTATGTTAGAAATTACAATAAATTTATATAATTACTAGGCATACTGCCTAGCTTCGCTTAGGTTTTTAAAAACATTTGAGAATTTGAATACTTAATTATTTAGCGATGGATTGGGTGAGGAGTGCTTCAATTTAAACAGTAATGCTAACTTTAGAAAAAATGTTTTTGTTTGTCATTTAAATTCAGTTCTCAGAGAAATACTGGAAAGTACGCAATCTATAACTAAAATGGAATTAGAACTACACAGGTTCCATGAACAGTATATCTAATAGTTTATATTACATTGTCTTTTGAAATTTATTTGATAATTTAATTAGGATACGAAACTGAATTAACAACTTAATTTGTACTACAACAAATGCTATACTTCGTCATTTTCTGTTTCTGTTTAAAATAGTATACAATTATTTGAAAAATAATAATTTTAAAAACGTTACCTCCCTTGAAAACTGAACGTATGACGTATGTCTTTGTTTACATTTTTTTTACAAACAGTTGCTATGCTTATATAAGAAATTACGGTATATGAACATATTTAACGACTATAATGGCTGTTTCCGACGGGAATACATTTTTTTTTACCCTCCAGGGTCGGTCTATCACGTCACATAATATTAAGGGGATCGTTCGTCAATTTATTTATATATATATATATATATATATATATATATATATATATATATATATATATATATATATATATATATATATATATATATATATATATATCTCATATAAGAAGAACTTCACTCACGATCATCTTTTAGCCCTTGTCGAGGGCTTTGAGTCTGACCAACAGTTTTTCCATACGGCATAGTCATCTATAGTAGTGCATGCAGAAACTTAGCATGATGTACAGACGTTAAGTAACCTAAAAATTGTGTTAAAATTTCCCTGTTTTTGCCATAAAATACAAAGATTATATAGGGAAATACGACTGGTCAGTTTTGACCGCTTTACGAAGTTTTCCCAGATATGCCGAGTTTTTTATGACACCCCTAGGTGTTCTTCTACCACCTCACAAAATATTAAGGGGGGTCGTCGGAGGAAATTTTTTTTCGTAATAGAGCTCATATAAAGAGAATTTCACTCGCGGTCACTTTTTAGCCCTCGTCGAGGGCTTTGAGTCAAACCGACAGTTTTCCCTAAAGGTCAAGCCATTGACCTAGGAGCATGCAAAAAATTAGCCAGACATACTGAGCTTAAGTACCCTAAAGTCTGCGTTGAAATGACCCTCTGTTTTTCCCATAAAATACAAAGATTATATAGGGAAATACAACTGGTCAGTTTTGACCGCTTTACGAAGTTTTCCCAGATATGCCGAGTTTTTTATGACACCCCTAGGTGTTCTTCTACCACCTCACAAAATATCAAGGGGGGTCGTCAGAGGAATTTTTTTTTCGTAATAGAGCTCATATAAAGAGAATTTCACTCGCGGTCACTTTTTAGCCCTCGTCGAGGGCTTTGAGTGTAACCGACAGTTTTCCCTAAAGGTCAAGCCATTGACCTAGGAGCATGCAAAAAATTAGCCAGATATACTGAGCTTAAGTACCCTAAAGTCTGCGTTGAAATGACCCTCTGTTTTTCCCATAAAATACAAAGATTATATAGGGAAATACAACTGGTCAGTTTTGACCGCTTTACGAAGTTTTCCCAGATATGCCGAGTTTTTTATGACACCCCTAGGTGTTCTTCTACCACCTCACAAAATATCAAGGGGGGGGTCGTCGGAGGAATTTTTTTTTTCGTAATAGAGCTCATATAAAGAGAATTTCACTCGCGGTCACTTTTTAGCCCTCGTCGAGGGCTTTGAGTGTAACCGACAGTTTTCCCTAAAGGTCAAGCCATTGACCTAGGAGCATGCAAAAAATTAGCCAGATATACTGAGCTTAAGTACCCTAAAGTCTGCGTTGAAATGACCCTCTGTTTTTCCCATAAAATACAAAGATTATATAGGGAAATACAACTGGTCAGTTTTGACCGCTTTACGAAGTTTTCCCAGATATGCCGAGTTTTTTATGACACCCCTAGGTGTTCTTCTACCACCTCACAAAATATCAAGGGGGGGTCGTCGGAGGAATTTTTTTTTTCGTAATAGAGCTCATATAAAGAGAATTTCACTCGCGGTCACTTTTTAGCCCTCGTCGAGGGCTTTGAGTGTAACCGACAGTTTTCCCTAAAGGTCAAGCCATTGACCTAGGAGCATGCAAAAAATTAGCCAGATATACTGAGCTTAAGTACCCTAAAGTCTGCGTTGAAATGACCCTCTGTTTTTCCCATAAAATACAAAGATTATATAGGGAAATACAACTGGTCAGTTTTGACCGCTTTACGAAGTTTTCCCAGATATGCCGAGTTTTTTATGACACCCCTAGGTGTTCTTCTACCACCTCACAAAATATCAAGGGGGGGTCGTCGGAGGAATTTTTTTTTTCGTAATAGAGCTCATATAAAGAGAATTTCACTCGCGGTCACTTTTTAGCCCTCGTCGAGGGCTTTGAGTGTAACCGACAGTTTTCCCTAAAGGTCAAGCCATTGACCTAGAAGCATGCAAAAAATTAGCCAGATATACTGAGCTTAAGTACCCTAAAGTCTGCGTTGAAATGACCCTCTGTTTTTCCCATAAAATACAAAGATTATATAGGGAAATACAACTGGTCAGTTTTGACCGCTTTACGAAGTTTTCCCAGATATGCCGAGTTTTTTATGACACCCCTAGGTGTTCTTCTACCACCTCACAAAATATCAAGGGGGGTCGTCGGAGGAAATTTTTTTTCGTAATAAATCTCATATGAAGAGAATTTCACTCGCGGTCACTTTTTAGCCCTCGTCGAGGGCTTTGAGTGAAACCGACAGTTTTCCCTAAAGATCAAGCCATTGTCCTAAGAGTATGCAAAAAAATTAGACAGATATACTGCGTTTAAGTACTCTAAAGTCTGCGTTGAAATGACCCTCTGTTTTTCCCATAAAATACAAAGATTATATAGGGAAATACAACTGGTCAGTTTTGACCCCTTTACGAAGTTTTCCCAGATATGCCGAGTTTTTTGTGACACCCCTAGGTGTTCTCCTATCACCCCACAAAATATCAAGGGGGGTCGTCGGAGGAAATTTTTTTTCGTAATAGAGCTCATATAAAGAGAATTTCACTCGCGGTCACTTTTTAGCCCTCGTCGAGGGCTTTGAGTGAAACCGACAGTTGTCCCCAAAGGTCAAGCCATTTCCCTATATGCATGCCAAAAATTAGCCAGATATACTGCGTTTAAGTACTCTAAAGTCTGCGTTGAAATGACCCTCTGTTTTTCCCATAAAATACAAAGATTATATAGGGAAATACAACTGGTCAGTTTTGACCGCTTTACGAAGTTTTCCCAGATATGCCGAGTTTTTTATGACACCCCTAGGTGTTCTTCTACCACCTCACAAAATATCAAGGGGGGGTCGTCGGAGGAATTTTTTTTTTCGTAATAGAGCTCATATAAAGAGAATTTCACTCGCGGTCACTTTTTAGCCCTCGTCGAGGGCTTTGAGTGTAACCGACAGTTTTTCCTAAAGGTCAAGCCATTGACCTAGGAGCATGCAAAAAATTAGCCAGATATACTGAGCTTAAGTACCCTAAAGTCTGCGTTGAAATGACCCTCTGTTTTTCCCATAAAATACAAAGATTATATAGGGAAATACAACTGGTCAGTTTTGACCGCTTTACGAAGTTTTCCCAGATATGCCGAGTTTTTTATGACACCCCTAGGTGTTCTTCTACCACCTCACAAAATATCAAGGGGGGGTCGTCGGAGGAATTTTTTTTTTCGTAATAGAGCTCATATAAAGAGAATTTCACTCGCGGTCACTTTTTAGCCCTCGTCGAGGGCTTTGAGTGTAACCGACAGTTTTCCCTAAAGGTCAAGCCATTGACCTAGGAGCATGCAAAAAATTAGCCAGATATACTGAGCTTAAGTACCCTAAAGTCTGCGTTGAAATGACCCTCTGTTTTTCCCATAAAATACAAAGATTATATAGGGAAATACAACTGGTCAGTTTTGACCGCTTTACGAAGTTTTCCCAGATATGCCGAGTTTTTTATGACACCCCTAGGTGTTCTTCTACCACCTCACAAAATATCAAGGGGGGGTCGTCGGAGGAATTTTTTTTTTCGTAATAGAGCTCATATAAAGAGAATTTCACTCGCGGTCACTTTTTAGCCCTCGTCGAGGGCTTTGAGTGTAACCGACAGTTTTCCCTAAAGGTCAAGCCATTGACCTAGAAGCATGCAAAAAATTAGCCAGATATACTGAGCTTAAGTACCCTAAAGTCTGCGTTGAAATGACCCTCTGTTTTTCCCATAAAATACAAAGATTATATAGGGAAATACAACTGGTCAGTTTTGACCCCTTTACGAAGTTTTCCCAGATATGCCGAGTTTTTTGTGACACCCCTAGGTGTTCTCCTACCACCTCACAAAATATCAAGGGGGGTCGTCGGAGGAAATTTTTTTTCGAAATAGAGCTCATATAAAGAGAATTTCACTCGCGGTCACTTTTTAGCCCTCGTCGAGGGCTTTGAGTGAAACCGACAGTTTTGCCTAAAGGTCAAGCTATTTCCCTATATGCATACCAAAAATTAGCCAGATATACTGCGTTTAAGTACTCTAAAGTCTGCGTTGAAATGACCCTCTGTTTTTCCCATAAAATACAAAGATTATATAGGGAAATACAACTGGTCAGTTTTGACCCCTTTACGAAGTTTTCCCAGATATGCCGAGTTTTTTGTGACACCCCTAGGTGTTCTCCTACCACCTCACAAAATATCAAGGGGGGTCGTCGGAGGAAATTTTTTTTCGTAATAGAGCTCATATAAAGAGAATTTCACTCGCGGTCACTTTTTAGCCCTCGTCGAGGGCTTTGAGTGAAACCGACAGTTGTCCCCAAAGGTCAAACCATTTCCCTATATGCATGCCAAGAATTAGTCAGATATACTGCGTTTAAGTACTCTAAAGTCTGCGTTGAAATGACCCTCTGTTTTTCCCATAAAATACAAAGATTATATAGGGAAATACAACTGGTCAGTTTTGACCGCTTTACGAAGTTTTCCCAGATATGCCGAGTTTTTTGTGACACCCCTAGGTATTCTTCTACCATCCCACAAAATATCAAGGGGGGTCGTCGGAGGAAATTTTTTTTCGTAATAGAGCTCATATAAAGAGAATTTCACTCGCGGTCACTTTT